ATTTGAAAACATTCAGGTTTGAGATGTACTGCACTGCATGGAGGGGGTTGTTTCAAAATTTTTTTCCTCTTAACTGGTGTTTCAGACACCTTAATATGCCAGGCTGTGGTTTGTGTTCACAACTACAGTTACTGAGATTGAGAACTCTTGCCGTGCTGCAGGGTTTTCTGTTGTGATTGGAACATCCAGCTGTAAGAAAACCCAACAGTATGGATACGGGAGATACCTGGAGGCGTAGGGTTCTCTGTGAAATCATTCAGAAACACAAATCACTTAGCTTCCATTTTTCTTGTATAGTTTATTATTAAGCTGTCTTGAAATATTTTTTTTCAAGTGGATGGGGAGGGGTAGTACTGTTGGCATCAGGTGATATATTATTGCTGTTGATTATATGTACTTGTGCGCCATTCTTCTCTATTCTATGAAACAGTTGTTTTCAGAATGATTTCAGAGTTAATATTTTAGGTTGCTTATTCTCTTTTTAGGGCCTCTATGGCAGCGTGATTGTAGCAGGAGGAAACACTCTAATACAGAGTTTCACAGACAGATTGAACAGAGAGCTGTCTCAGAAAACTCCACCGGTAAAATAACTCTTTAAATTACTGCACAGAGTTACCATTTTTCTCTTCTGCCACATAAATTCACAAGCACGCGTCATAGCTTTGGCTTTGTTACAAATCCAACAGCTGAAGAGATTTCCGTGGTATAACAGATCTCCTTCTCTAATGAAGCAAAAGAAGTCTTGAAAGGTTCTTAAGAAGTCAGTTCCAGCAGATAACGGCTTTCCGAATATTTTTTTTCAGATTGTGATTCTAAGTTCTGTAATTGTCCCTAAGCATTTCCCTTGATGGCCTCTCTTCTGAAGTGTTGATGACTAACTTGAGGCACATTCAGTAGCTCTGCCCGAGGTCTTGCCACTTTGTCATGGCAGTTGCTCTTCCTGGATTCTACAAGCAACCTACTCGTAGATAAAATCTGGTGATTTAACATCCTGGTGTTTTTCTGTTTAAATCACTTAATGTCAAAGAAAGTATTTATTCCTTGCACCTGTGTTCTTGAGAGCACATATAGCTTATGATGTTTCTTGAATATTCATATTCAAGAAAAAAATGTTCTATTTGTAGCAGCTCTGAAATCATGAAAGTTATGAGAAACTAAGAAGGGTAGTGACTCGCTACTGCTTATAATAGCTGAGGTGCAACCCACTGAAATTCAAAAATTTTATTGCTACAAGGCATTTTAAAAGCAAAAGGAGTGAATGGGTCCAAAAAGGACTAGATGAGTTAAGTTCATCTGTGTTAGACGTTTTAGTCCAAGTGCACGTTTTAAGTAGCTTGGTGTTAGAGATGATAGTATGTGCTGCATTATTGCTCTCTACCTGCCGTATTTCTAACTGTACACATTTGCTGCTGCTTACTGTTGGGAAGCAAGATAAAAGCCACACATGTTCTATTCCGCTATGGCCCTTCTTGAATTCCAAGTACAGGGCTGATGAGCATTATTTCAAGTTTACAAAAATTGACCTTTTTCACCTGCCAAGTTCTTTGTGCTGCCCTTCTCTTGTCCCTAAAGGTCACCAATCTAGAATTTGTCTGATTGTTCTTTTCATTTTGCCTCCCTTTCTGTTCAGAGCATGCGCCTGAAGTTGATAGCGAACAACACAACGGTGGAGCGGAGGTTCAGCTCGTGGATCGGTGGTTCGATTTTAGCTTCTTTGGTTAGTAAACCTGTGTTACTATGTTGCTGTGTTAAGCAGCACTGTTGCTGCAAAAATCCAGTTCCACATAAGTGTGTGTTGTGGAGTTTGCAGAGCAATCATAATCTTGTCTATGCTTGTGGTAAGGCGAGAAGAATTTAGTCAAAAAACACGACACAAAATGAGCATTTCCAATCAGTAAATGCCTTGCCACATCCACCTGTTTTTAATGGCAAGGTGCAGGCTTGAAATACAGTATCTAAAAGCTATGTATGTAGTACGCCATGAAAGTACCAAACCTGCTTCTGTATCATATTCCTGAGCTTAATTCTAGAAGTTATTGAGTACTGAACGGGTTTAGGGGGATTAATTTAGCAGTATGGGAAAGGGAGATTGAAATTGGCCTTTGGTACTGCAACTTCCTGCCTTTAATTGCTAGCAATATAAAACTCCAAGGAAAAGGTAATGAAGCAGGCCAAGTCCTCTTACCTCATTTAATCTAAAGACTTACTTGTTTTTCCTTTAATTGTTTTTGTTTGGTTGTTTGTTTTGTAGGGTACTTTTCAACAGATGTGGATTTCTAAACAAGAATATGAAGAAGGAGGGAAGCAGTGTGTAGAAAGAAAATGTCCTTAAACCTCTTACTGTGAAAACTGCTGCCTGCTCAGTGCTCCTGTTTTATAGCTTTAGTATACTCAGGAATGGGATGGACTCTTTTGTAGGAAGTTTATATTGGATTTTTTGCATAAATCAAGTTCCATTTTAACAAACCTTAGGAATATGGAGAGACCTAAAAGGTACTATCATAGAAAAAGGATGTTTACATCCCTTGTAAAGCAATAATTCATCTAACAAGCATTTTATAATTTTGTATAAATATCTATTTTCTCTAGTATCTTTTCCTGGGAACAGCTTTACAGGTTAGCTAATAGAGGCAGAACCCTGCAAATGGCCCTGCAAATTTATTAAAAATCTCTTGTGTACTTTTACATGTTAGTCTTCCTTGCTGGTACTTTGGCCTTAAATTGCTTACTTTTCTCTTAAAAAATAAATTTTAGTCTTTTGTACTTGAGCAATTTTGTGAGTACTTGCAGAGAAAGTTACTCTTCTGTTTTGAAAAGTTTTTATTTAGTAGTCTAGGTGACTCAGCTCACTGTAAGCTTTTACTGTGTCATCAAAGTTTTTTAACATTCCATATAATGAATGTTATATTAAGCACTGGTTTGCTAATTTTCTATTCTGGAGCAGTTCATTTCGGTAAGCAATCTGTGCTTTCCACCTGATTTCTAAGAACATGCATAATGCCTTTGTGATGTAGGTGAGAAGCAAAACAGACTTGTTAAGGCAAAGGATTGTCCAAAACTAGAAGAATAGTCATAGAAGACCTCAGGATGTGGCTCGACATTTTTAAGGGGAGCTGTAACTCCAAGGGGCAGTCACTCCTCATGTATTGCTGGTATAGCTCCCTTGGCTGACTCGGAGCAGGGTCAGTAAGTGCCTGTGTTTTGCATGGGGAGTGTGCACTCAGGGTCAGAGGAAGTAGGATGATTTTTATTTTTTTTTTCCCCCCAGCAGGAACTGGCTGTCAAGATACAGCTTTATGTTACTGTTAAGCTCAATTTAGTTTACAACTGTGTGATGTTCTGTACAGGGATACAATGAAGTTCTGCTCCTTTTCTTAAAAGCTATGGGAAACCAAATAGCATTTAACCAATCTAAAAAAACCAAACAAAACAAGTAATGTTAACAGCGCTGCTACATTTTTCATATCCTAAAAGATCTTGTGGGTAAATAATGATGAGGCCTCTAGTTGAAAACAGTTTCACATTACCTCCAAACAATAAAGTAATTTATCCAAACAGCCTGCTTTTGTCGTATCACGATGAACGTTAGTTGCTCTTGAGACAAAGTTGCTTGCTCCAGATTTTTAAAGCTATTGACAAACTGTATTTCTGCCACAAAATGAGGCAAACTTAAGTCAGCTACAATAGGAGATGTAAGTCACCAGCTTTATTGTTGTACTGGGAGAAAGAAACTTGGTCTAGTTGCCACTCAAGTGGAATGTCAACGTGTGTCTTAAGACACCACAGTGAGTAATGCTTTCTAAAGTTACTGTGGCATCAGTGAAGTATTGACAGGACAGCTTATAGCTAGAGGTAAAGATAGAAAAAGAGGCTTTTTTGGTTTCTCTTCACGAACTGACGATGCAGATTAAACTTTCCTTGTGTCATGCACTTAGGTTTCATTTTGTCTAATCAACTTTTACCTTCTGTATATCTTAAGAATTGCAGTATCTGTGAATGTTGTAGCAGCATATGGAAAGCAAAACACTTTCTGGCGTTTTCTTACCACTGTAAAGGTTCTGTTGGAAGAACTGAGTATTTTGTGTGATGCAGAGGAATACCTGAAGGCCAAGATGATGGAGGTATCTTTATCTCCTACAGTTTTGGTTGTTTTGGAGTTTTCCAGTTTTATCTGATTATACTGCCCAGCACATCTGCTTCCTGAAAGATGGGTACTTGTGACTTCATTCTAAATGTCTACACAATGCCATCTGAAGGTAAAAAGCTTTCATAAAGTAGGTGTTTACCATCAACTGAGAGCAGGCGCAGTACCCTTCTACTTCAGTTTCATAGAAAACTCTTACCAGTTCTCCAAATATTTTGTACACTGCAAAAAAATTGCACAAATGTTTGCATTTGTCACAGGTGTCTAGAAATCTGGGTGTAAACACTGCATTGTTAGAAGTTCACGTGCTAAGTATTTTCATGCTTTCTAACAAGCCAGACTTAAAAGCACAGAAAATGTTCCTTTTAGCAGACTGAAGAGCCCGCTTCTCCAGACTTATGTGCAGAAAGCACCTGTAACTTAGGGGACACACCTGTAACTCAAGATATTCAGGGAACAAAGGCTAGTATGTGAGCCTCAGAGGTTCTCATGTTTCTGTCTGGTTTTAATGCAGATTTGTTAAACTAAACCAGTAAATATTACCGCAACACTTTATGCCTTCATCTGGCAGTCAGTTACTGCTTCTCACTGTTACTATATGGCTCACTTTTCTAATAGCTGGTTGATAGGTCATTTTTCACATATTTCTAGAAACAACTGTTAGGATTTAGAGTTATGCACCAAAGCTGCTTTTTAATTCCAGATCACAAGTTTTAATTTACGTAAAATGTGGGATTAAAAAGAAAAGATGGAGACTCGTAGGAATGCTCAGTTGAACTGTTTGCTCTTTTCGGAATTTGTTTCATGTTTCAGTTAAAGAAACTTGACCAATTGCTTCCAGCACTCTTTGAGCATGTTACTGGCTCTGAGACTTTACAGCAAGGTGAGGGAACTTGCTTTCCAAGACCTTCTGCCTCGTCCTCTCTAGGTTTTTCCTTCTTGCCCTTGCACGTAAAGATTTTTCAATTCTGAGCCTGAAATAAAGAAGTTACTGTGGTTAATTTCTCAGTAGCTTGTAATGACCTAATGAGCTCACCCCACCCCAATGAAATAGAAGCTATAGTCATTAGCAACTTCAGTATTAACTTGCTTTCAATAAGAAAATATGCCTGCAAAGCCAACTTTTTCTTCTATTTTTAAATTCTATAGAAATTCAGCCTCTGGGAGGATCTTAAGTAGTCTGCATGTAAGTTTCTTTTACCGTGCATCTTCATAGATAACCAAGTCTCCTAACTAAGATGAGAACAGCAAAAAGAAACAGCAAGATGCAATTTGAAAAAGCCTTAATTTTAGTCTACTAGCTGTAAAAACTACAAAACATTGCTGTTTTTTCCTTGCAAAGCAGAATAAGGAGGACAGAGGAACAGATCAGAAAATAATTTTCAGTGTTAAAAAACTTCTTACCTGATGAAGCGATCCACATGAGGTAAATAATAGAATTTCTTCTTTTTGTGTTTTTTGTTCAAGTACCATGGTATTGGCCATTCCTTATAGCTGTACCTGTTAGAGACAGGTAAAAGTGGTTATAGAACACAGACTTTTTGTCTTCATTCCTGGATTCCACCAACTACACTTGGTTACAGTACAGTGACAGTACAGTTCAGTAGTCCAAGTGGCAGACTGCACAGTTTGTACAGGGGTATTTACTTTCGGCTCTATTGTTGCCTTGTTTTTTAAACTACGTCTCGTACGTTGCTCAGCATCTTTCTGTAGAAAGTAGTCTTGCTCTAAAAACTGCAGATGTTTGAAAAGGCGACCCAGTACAGAGAGTGATTCTTTTGCATTTATATTTTAAAGTTACTCCTTCAGTAGGAAACTCTTAAAAGCTGATGTCAACAAGCTGTGCGTGATGAGACTTTTGCTTCTACTACTATTTTCTTTTGAATGACAGTGTTAGAGTGTCATGTCAAGTGCAAATCTGCTTGAACATAAGTCTTTCCCTCTAAATACAGACTCTGTTAGTTCTCTTTGGGGTTGACTCTCACATATGGGCTGCACAGATGGCTTATGCAGACATACCTACAGGCTCCAGTGCATCCAGACTGTGTAGGACCTACTACCCTGTGTATTGTGGAGTTTCTGCATGTGCTTAGAGACCACTTCACGTCGTCTGCCCCTTCTGCCTGCTGGGGACCGGACTTCCAGATATATGGGCAAACACTTCTTTGTGGATAACGCTTCCAAGCAGAAAGAAGCCTTACCCCTAGAGATGTAAGTCTGGTGGTTACTGCATTTAGTACTCTGCTGATTTATATTTAGTGGGCAAACAAATGGGTAACAACTGAAAATTTACCATTTTAATGTGTGACCTGGTATCTACACTGTTAACAGAGCTCAGTACTGTAATAAGTGCTTCAAATGCCAATATGACACGGGCAAAATACTGACTGATGAGCCTTCAGTGTCATCACGTGAAATTAGGAATTATTGAAAGTATCTAGATGATAAATAATTCCAAAGGTAGAAGCTTCAAAGTACGTTAAATACCTGTCAGGACTAGTAGGGAATGCCACTTTATGAGGTCTCATCCAGTACCCTGGGTGGTTGTACCACAATATGTGGATTTTGCATTAAAACTAGGGAAGTCTGGAGGGTTCAACTTGAACAGTACTGGCTTGTTCATTTGTGTGTCACAGAATACCTACAGTAGACATCCTCTAAGTACTGAAATCATATTAGTTACATGGAACAAATTTTGTTATAATTAATGGTAGAGTTTGCCAGTAAATTATTTAGCAACAATTACAACCACGCTAAAAAAACCACAGAACTCAAGAACCACCAGACTGCTGACCAGAAAACATCTTTTTTTCTATACAAGATAAGGATTTTCTGGTAAAGAGACAAAGCACAAGAAAAATTCACACATATCGAAAAAAAAAGAAGTCTTTTTCCATACCAGTACGTGCGTCCTAAGAAGTCATGTCTCCACTCGCCAGGTACTGGTTTTTCATGGCCAGTTTGTAAAAGCCTCAGAGCAACTTCTCTTTCTTTGACAACTAAATCTATATTTTTCATGGACTTTTCTACCTGGAAAGAGGAAATAGTTTCAGGATGGGCCAAAAAAACACAATTCTGACAAAAGACCTTAAATTAACGTCTAAGACAAAATTTGAAGGAAAAGCAAAGGTAAAACACACTAGGAGTAATCTCACAGCTGTGGACTGAGTGAAACAGCTGAATTGGCCCTGTGTAATAGGACAGTAAAGAATAGGTGTTTTAAAAACCTCACTTATAAGGAGAACAGATATGAAATAAGTGACAGTCTGATATTTCACTGAAAACTATCCGGCTAATACATCAAGCCAGATCTAATCCTGATGCTAGATGTACAGAAAGCTGAGGCAGGGGCAGGAAGGAAGGAGGGAAACAGACAGGATAAGCTGTACGTACTCCTGTCAGACGGTTTGTACTGGCTCTTTGTTATTCTAGTTTTCACTGTGGAGTCTGGCCACAGCCTCAGTAATGCCTGCTGGCGGACGAGAAAGCTGCCTTGACCAAACTATGACAACTGAGTTGAACGTGTAAATTTAGTCATGTCCATATCGTGATATTACTGTAACATGTTACATACGACAATACATTAGATGCTGAGGGAAGCTGCTAGAGCTAATTTTAATAAGATTGAGGTCTTTTGTTTTGGTGCAGTCCTAGCATTTCACTGTTCCTTGACTTCTACTTTTCTTGGACTTCAGCCAAAACAAAACAGGCAATTACTACAACTTGAATTTTGAAGTGTTGGGACTACTTACGTTCCTTCCCCAAACAAGTTCTGCTGTGATTGGTAATTGCTGAACAGGGATGTGTAGATAGGACTAAGCAGAAAATACTGTTCAGAATTACAATCACAAGAAACAGTTGAGAAACTATTACAATGAACTAGAAAAAGGTACGCTAGGAGACCCAGAGGAGATTCTTAATTGGATCTTCACTGTCTTATAGGTACAGTGATGAAACGACAAGAGTAGGAGACCAAAAAAATTCACGTCTGACACACAAAAAAAGAGATCGTAATGCAGCTGCAGATGTGCGTGTCTAAATAACAATATTTTTAACTATTAACTTATTAACTATACAAAGAAACTGAGATAAACATTGCAAAGGTCATGTTTTCCCAAATTAATTAGGATAAACAGGAGGCTATCTGAGAATATCTCTCATGTCTGGACTATTTAACTAGCCGGTGAAGGCAAAGATTTTCATCTATGAGATACAAGCATAGAGACAACAGTTGATTTATAAGTAAATGAAGTTTTCAATAGGAAAGATACCACGGGGGGAATTTAATAATTAGTGGCAGAATTGCAATAATGCAAAAGAAGGAGGGAATGACAAAAGTGAGGTCAGCAAAGAACCAAAGGGCACAAGTTTGGAGCAGTTAATGTCAGAGACAAGGAGTTGGCAACAGTTAAGTAGCTAAAGAAAAGTGTGCAGAGGGTAAGGATAGAGAATGTTGAAGATTTTACCAGGAAGTTTCTAGAAATCCTTTAGTGCAGTTTCAGGGCATGAAAATGGTAAAGTGTTTCTTAACATTATATAACAAGTGGAGAGGCCTTTCCCATTATGTTGCTCAAGCACAGTGTTTGTACATACACTAAAATCATAAATGGTTTTTAAGAAGTTCTCTTACAAGATTACAAACACTTCATTTTTCACTCAGCAATTTTACTTAAAGAGTCATGGTTTTAGCTATACAAAAAAGTTACCTTTTCTAATCGTTCTGGACTTGGCATAGGCTTGAGTTGTCGTTTTGATTCTTGCTCTAAAGTTAAAAGCATGTTTTTTTCCTTCAGTAAGACATACCTAGATCAGAAAGCATAGTACTTCAAAAATAATTCCTGGATGCATTAGCAATTATTCACTCACTACCCTGCTGGCTAGAGCACAGTTGTCCAACCTATAATCCTACATCATATACCTGCTAGCTTTGTATAAAGAAGCAAAAAGATCCTGATCAACTGGCAAAAGCCCCATAGAGGTGGGGAGGGCTGATGCACAGGACGTTTTAGGAGAGGCTGGGGGATTAAGGCAGCTCAACCTGGAATAAAGGCAGCTAAGAAGGAAAGAGGTTAACACTAAGCGGTCTTCCACTACCTGGACAGAGCCAGAACCTGCTTACAGATGCAGAGCAAAAGGACATGATATAGCAAGGAAAAAACCACTAAGTACTGGTTTAGCCCTGGCACAGGCTGCCTAGAGTGGTGATGCGATTTCCTGCCTCAGAGACTTTCAAAAAATCAGAATGGGTGCAGGCCTGAGCAACCCAATCTAATTTAGTCCCACCAGAGGTCACTTACCACCACATCTGTCCTGCAGCTCAAACAACCCCCATAATGCTCAAACTCGGCCTCTTCATACCGGACACAGCTCACCGCTGTCGCACAACCTCCTGCTGTACAGCTTTCGTATTCCGAGCTGTACCAGAACTGCGCGGCTCCAAGCCCAAAGCTGGCGGAAGCATGCGGAGCTGTGCGGCAAACTAAATTTCCTGGCTAAGAAGTTCTCTAGCCACACTACTGGAACTGCAGAGCTGCTCTGAAAGAAGCGAAGCTACTTCAGTAAAACTTACCAAAGTTTGTGCAAATCCTCACTGCTCTTGCCCCTTAGCTGCTTTATATTCCATGCGTCCCCTGTAAAAAACAACAACAACAAAACCAAAATCAGTGTAATAGAACAAAGTTTTATTCTGAAAGAAAAAAAAAGTGCTTATCTTGGCAGGCTCAGCTGACTCAGCAAAGCAAAGAACACCTTTTAAAAAATACTGCTGCTTAGAAAGTTATCCTCGTGGATATTCAGCTTTGCTGTGAAAACACATTAGAAGGGCAATTACACGTACTGTTTATTTGTAAAAAGCTGGGAACTTTATATATAAAATAAGATACAAGTATATAAGATGAATCTTTACACTGAAGTATTTTTCTGCAATAGAACCATGTATTTCATCACAGAACATCTCTTCTGCATAGTTTTGCTGCATAGTAACTATTTTCTTACATAAATGCAGAATACACAGAAAAATAAACAAGCACAAAAAGCACAAGTATAGATACATATGTATACATACAAAAATACATCTTACATAACTACAACTACTTCCTATAATGCAAAAGAATACGTCAGATTTCCACTGAGCACAAGTGGCTGAAAGATCACTATCAGAAATGTGAAACATAACTCACCGGACTTGACTGTTTTTTCTCCCCAGTTTCTTGGATCATCAAAAACCTCCTCCAGGCCTCTCCGAGACACAGTGCTGTGCAGGAACTTCACCCCAGGGAGGGGCTCCGCTTTTGACAGGTTCTTGTGGAACAGGTTCAGGGTCAACCTGCATAAGAGTTAAAGGGGGAACTATACACGATAGGAAAAACAACACTCGGCTACCGCTCACAAAGGCCCAGGGCCCGCAGCTGACTGCCGGAACGCGTAGGGCGGCTCTCCC